CCGAAAAGCATTTACCGACTCCCCCGTGGCTCACTGACATTCACACTGTCTCAGCTCGAGGGCCTGGCAGAGCCAAGAGAACGCGCTGCTTTCAGGGAGCAGCCCAGACTCCAGAGCGTCTGGGCCTTTAGCTCCTAATCAGCTCAGAAAAGGGCTCCGGAGCAGGTAGTGCTATTTTGGGATGACCTCGCTGCCAGCTCTGCAGCTCGTGCAGTCTTGGCTATCAAGAGAACTTGCTGTCTACAGACAGAATAGCTTCAGTTTGAAATAGCTTTTGGGGGCCTGGCCTTGTGTTCTGTACAACTCAGCCCCTATCGGAAGGAGCAAAAGTATCCCAAACTCGCATCCATGGCAGTGTTTTAGGAGCTGACGCCAGTGCTCCAGGCGAGCTGGACTACAGGCAGAGCCCACTGGCACTGGAGTAATTAGCCGGGTCTATGCGTCAGACTCCAAAGCAAGGTCTCAAACTCTCCACCTGGGCCTCAGACTTTTCTGTGCAGCAAGGCTGGCTGGGGAAGCATGGACAGGAAATGGCTGATTCTTGGCTGCAGGGGTTCTCTCAGTCATTGCTGGCATATAGTGTATTACAGTCCGAAGAGGTTTGGGCCTGTTCAGCCCTGAGAGCAGAGGCAGGCTGGCTGGGAAGCTGAGGAATGAGGATGAATTTTCATGCTGTCCTTTCTCCCTTTGAAACTATTAAACGCTGGTGGAATTTAAGACGACGTCATTCCCCAAATTACCAGCAGTAAAAGTCTGCTGTCCGAAATGTGGCCGCAGCCCCAGGGAAAGCTGATGGGCCAATTCTGTGACATTCTTTCAGGCATGGCCTGGATCATTACTGGCCCAGAACACCCATGGGTGAGACAGTTTGAAACTATATGCAGGTGTTTGGGTGTATCTGTTGCTAATCAAAATTCAGAGCAAATAAACACAAGACACCAATCCCAAGCAATGCCCTCTACAACTTCGGTTCTGCAAAAAACGTGCCGAGAACAGCCATAAACACTTCACCAGCTGCTGTTCCCTGGTTGTTTTCATTAGCCTTTTAATTCCTACTTCAATGCTTTTGGCACAGATTTGAGAACCTGGAAACAACCGTGGTAAAAATGGACTGTTAGGGCAGATGTTGTATTTACAAAGGCTGAGATAGCTTCAGAGCGAGTGAAGGCATGAAGTGCAGAGGGGCTGCAAAGGGCAGTGTGTAAACACAGCATCCTCCTCTCACCTGGTACTTTTAACTCAGTCAAGTGTCCAGGAGATGGAGACACGCAATAAATAATGACTTACCTACACTCTGGTACTCATGCAAGTGAGTGCCAATCACAATTTCCCTGTAGTATTGATAGGAACACGGGATTTGTGTAGCATATGGGGCCCATGGGCTATCCAGTGTGATCCCCTGTCTCCAGCAGCACACTTTGCATGATGCTTTGCAGGAGGGCAAAAACTCCTGTGATGCTCCTGTCGGGATATGTAACACCTCACATAAGGCAAAGCCTCTTCTTCTTCACTGTGGTGACCTGCTAATGCTCTAAGATGTGTGGAGAGCTCCCCTTGCATTCTGCAAACACTCCATCATGGCCATAACACTGGGCAGCAGGGGGGAACCTACTGGATGGTCCTGGGAGCAGAGGGAGACTGACACAGGTTGGAAAGCAGGTGGACTGAATGTCCCTTTCACAAGCCTTGCCCTCGACAACATGACTCATTTCAGGTCACAAATTGCACTTGACCTCCTGCCTTCTCTGTCATTCAGTTGCTCAATGGCCTACTCCAGATTGTGAGAAAGTGTGACTGGGCTGGATGTATTTGTATGTGCCTGTTCCTCAAGTCACTCCTTGGCTCTGAGCATGTCTCACTTGGTCACTTAGCTCAGAGACAACCAAGACTTTGATGGGAACTTAACATCTCACCCAGACACGCATGCACATACGCATGCAAGTGTGTTTATTGTGTGGAGAGTGGGCCGGTTCTGTCTGTCTTTCTGCAAACCTGCTTCCAGATTTAGAAGCCTGCATGGCCGTTCACGGATATAATGATCCCTTCCATCCTGTTTGCAAACAGCTTTTACTTCTCTTTCGGGTGGATCCAAGAAGTGTTCCCCAAAACAAGGGAAAGGTTTTATTAAAGACAAATGAGCTGGGGACTGAAGCCAGTCTCTGCCATGAATGAACCCCATGCTAACACATGCTTGTCCAGGGCAGTCCAAAGCTACAAACTATCTTGCATTATTTCCTGTATTCTTCTGGCCCAGTGTGCTCTGAAGCTCACCGCCGGCTCTGACCCTCAGACATGTAGTTTTATGGAAGCCCTAGTTAGTAGGGCTGCAGTCACTGGCACTCTCACCTGTGGCTGGAGTTAAACTCCAGGACATTCTCTTTGAATGGGAACTCGATGAGGTCCAGGCAATAGAAACAGCATAATTCCATGGCACCTAATATTTTCTCAAGGTGCTTATTGTGTAGGTAGGACACTTCTAAGAACTCTGTGTAACTTTGAGAGACAGAGCACAGCCTACAGCCTACAAACCGCATCCAGTCTACACAGCTCCGCACCGCATGGCTGCTCCAGCTGGTAAGGGCATAGTGCCACAGCCGGAGAGGCGGCAGTGGGGCTGCATGCCCCTTGGGAATGCTCAGCACAGCTCCAGCTCTGCAGGAATTGTGTTTGATGCTTTAAAAACCACCGAGTACAAGCCCCTGAAGTGTAGTGTGGCTGCCACTCGATCACTCAACTGACAGAGCAAACGAGACAGTGTTGTGTGCGTGCACACTTCAGCAGAGCG